TCCTCTGGAGTCCATTTAAGCTCATGAGAATTAAAATAGCCTTCTCTAACTTAACCATTTCCAGCTGATTTATACTACAGCTCTCAGTATTCCCAACCAACTTGGGTACTGGTAATGTTGGGTGCAGATCAGGGGTGGGTTCTACTTACCTTTATTACTGGTTTGCAACGGGGCCGCACGCGTGCGCTTGCTATGCGCACTCTTTTGCACATGCACAGAAGCATTTTCATGATGTCAGGGTCAGTGGGCGGAGCCTCCCACCGGTTTTACTACCGGTTCTATAGAACCGGTGCGAACTGGGGGCAACCCACCACTGGTGCAGATGATTGGAAGCTGTGGCCGAAAGATTTTTTTATTTATTTATTAAATTTCTATGCTGCCCATCTCCCCTACAAGGTGACTCTGGATGGCTCCATATTGATCTTCAAGATCTTGATGAAATCATGTTTAACTGATTCTGAGCTGGGAATATTAGTATAAGAGTGTCAAATGTTAGCCCCAAATCTCTAAAAGCTGGATTGACATTACTTTATACCCAAACTTCCTTTCTGTTGTAGGTAAATACTAGCTATTCATTTATGAGAGCACCATGAAACATCTTGAATTCTTATTCTAAAAACGATGCATCTTCCTAGAAGGCTTGGAATGAGATCAGTAGGGACAATACAGTAAAAACCATGAAGTAAAAGTATTTCAAAATTCCTATGTATCTTGAAACATGAAAGTGAAGCAAAAACATTTGGAATATAATTTCATTTGATGTAGTCTGCACTATTTTCAAATAGATGGCAGATCTTTGAATTATGATGAGCCTTAAGAAAATCAGCCAACCATCATCTTATACTAAGCCAAACAGCAGTTTATCTTAACCCTAATTTAAACACCGCTTTCCTGCCTAAACTTAACATTAAAAAAATTATCCCTCAGATCAAGCATTTGAACAATGTCAATTTAAATGATGCTCCAGATGCATTTCTTACAAACTCTTGTCACCACTGCAAGTTATCCAATGGTGCTCTGCAGTCGTGACTTGATTTGGCCTGGACATCATATATGCACCAGATCCATTCAGAAATTCTGCTCTTCCTATTTGTAACTGGCTTTGTGCAATACTCCCAAAGCCTATTACAGCAAGCAGCAAAGCCACATGTTGGCAAGGTCAAGCTTGGCCACTTTCATTTCATTAATACTTTATTATGGTGTTTAAGGAAGCCTTTTTAAATGTGGCTTAAAGTGCTAATGCTGGTCATTTTGCAATATTGTGACTTCCTGTTTTTATTGTTTTCATGCCTGCTATAGAGAAATATTACCTAGGAAAGGGTTTTGTTTTTTTTAAATTAGTAGACACACTCAAAAATATTGGAAAAACAGCACGGATTATTTAACAGGATTTGAAACTTCACTTTCTTTCATATGCTAATGTCTCCCTTTTCCCTGAAAAATGACTCAACAGGTATCTATGAAAAATGAAGGCAAAGAAGATGAGTCACAAGACTGAAGCATCAAGTCATATCCTGCTCCTAAGAGCTAGATAAAGAATCCCTATTAGGCCACCTCCTACTGGTAGCTTTTTTTAAAGAGACAGTCTTCTTTTTCTGTGCTGTAGGAAGCCTGGAAGATTTGGGCAAGAGTTGCCCATCCATTTCGTGGAAAGAATATGGTGAGGATACAGGAGCCTCGCTCAAGATCTTAGAGCTTTTGACATGAGTTAATTACTGATATTACCTCATTCCAAGACTTGATACCGATAAAAGAGGATATTTGTAGCCAGGGGCGGGAATGACGGGTGGTAGGTGCTCTCTGAGCTCGGCTGTCTCCTTGTAGACGTTTCATTACCCAAATTAGGTAACTAGGTTTGGGTAATGAAACGTCTTGCAACAAAATAACCAAGCTCAGAAAGCACCAACGAACCTTTCATTCAAAACTCAGTCTGTTCTTATCAGCTCCAACCCTCCAACTGCTTATCTCTAAATATCATGGATGATTTACTGCTCTCTCGGAGCAGTCTGCAGCCACGTGCAAACCAACGATAGAGCTCTACTCTTTCAGCCACGAAAAATACGTAAAGCCGAGACGCAAGAAGGGAAATACTTTCAGAGGGTGTCATGCTCCAACGAAGTGGGATTGAGTTCGGTAGGGCATCCGGCGCAGGGACTTCCCGCCTTCTGATGGGCGAAACACCCTGCAGGAAAACGTCCCAACATCTATCTATCTACCCTTCCATCCATGCGGGCGGTCATGTGTGCTACTATCAGTCGGAGCTAGGAGCCGCTTCTTTCTACCGACTGAAACTGGGATCTCTGAATGCTTTAGAAACTTCAGAGTTGAACAGAGTCTCCCGCGGAGAGGAGAGGGGCGGGGGGGGGAGAAAGTGAAAGCTGTAGTAGCGCTACTTCGGAGAAACAAGCCAGGACAAAGTTTACTTTTATCGCTCCCCGCACTTTATCTTTAACTGTGAAATAGCCCTTTAGGTCCGCTCTGATCCATCCCTCCTTCCATGTGTGGCGGGAGCCGGACAGGACCCCATTTTTACGATTACATTTCTCCCCCCCCCAACTCGCTTTCACCGCCCCCAAATCATCCAAAGTCGGAAAAATTGTCCCTTCTGATTAGATTTAAAAAAAAAAAAAAACAATAACCATTCGCAGAATCCTTTGTTCGCTTACCATGTTTTGTTTCGTGGAAACCGGGATACCAGGAGAAAGCACCTCCAACAAGCGGGTCGAGAGTCTTCCTCACTAATCGACCCGTTTAGGAAGCCGCCAGTGAGCCAAAACTTCTTGTTAGCTGAATCAACCCCGGGCGGCGCCTTTTATAGCGCTTGGGCGTGTCCTAAAGCAAGGGGGCGTGGTTAAACGGGAAGGTAACCAAGGAGGCAGGTTTTACTTTCCCTTCCTCGCCCTTCAGCTGCCGCCTAATTGGCAGGCTCGAATGTCCCGAAATCTGAACGGAATGACATGCGCAGGATACAATGAGAGGGGGAGGGAAGAAAAGCCAGCTTGGGGGGGAGGGCGGGGGCTGCACCCCTTGGCGGGCCCCTAAAGCGGGTGGGTCACGCGCTCTCTACCCCCCACCCCCACCCCCTCGTGGGTCCAGAAGAGACTTCGCCGTCCAATTTCGGACCGTTCTATAAAATGCCTATCAAAAGAAATTAATTCTAGCTAAGTGTTGTTTCCAGGAAAACCGAGACGCCTCACGATGAACCGCAGCGAGGCATTTCTCTTGGGTAGAATTTAGCCGCCGAGGCGAAGGTTTCCCTCGCTCTTCTCTCCGGTCTTTAGTGCGGGGGAAAAAATTACGGTGTGGGAAGCAACCGGGCAGATTTATGGAGAAGTTTTAGGCGAGAGGAAGGGAGGACTTGTTGAAGGAGACCTCCACCCGGGAGCCAGAGATGGGAGGGAGGGAGGGAGGGAGGGAGGGGAAGAGTCGCCCTGTTTTCAAAGCGCCGTCGCTGCACATTCCGAAAAGATGGCGGGGCTGGTCCGCTGCGGCAGAAACGAAGCCCCGCCAATACCTTTGGCGGAGGAAGGTCAAACGAGCAGGGCTTCTGTGTCACACTGAGCTTCTCTCCAGGGAGTCCTCATGAAATATTTAAGATGCCTTTTTAAAAAGAATTTTGTACTCTCCCTTCTTTCAATGATCTCATTTTTTTTTTTCCTGTCAGCAGGCTGGCCCAGTAGCTTTCAGCCAGGGTACCTTTCATGGCTGGGTTCACTTCACATGCTGAGGGTTCACATAAGTGTGCCAGAACAAAAAGACCATGCTGTCGTTTAATAGTGTAGGAAGAAACATCCTTCTGGGTTCAGCTCCAAGTGGGGAAAAAAGACACTGGAGACTGCTTGGAAAGATGGTTTAATGGGGGACAGGATCACATGGCTTGAGTTCCTGAACAGAAAAAGGTGCAAGACCCAGTGAGTCCCCGGGTTTTATGCCCTCTCTGGCTTTGAACTTCCTGGGGCCCAGAAAGAGTATCCTGATTGGTTGTCAGACTCCCAGGGGGTGGGGGTCTTAGCTAGCCTTGCTGGCTGATGTAATCTTCCCAGGTGCCATGTGGTGAGTTTCTGTTGCTAGATGGGTCCTATTGTGTTGCAGATGATGGTCCATTGACAAAGATTGAGTTTCTGCCTCTGGCCCATTGACAAAGGGTGGGGGCAGGAAGATGGGAGCTGCTTCGTCTTTAAAACATGCTTCTCCATTTCTCATCCAGAGAAACATAATACTCTGCCTTTTTAATATTTCCCAAAATATTTCATTCTTCTAGGAAAGGGCTGGGTGCTAACTTCCTACAATAGAATGGCCTGCAACATGATCCTTAAGGCATAAGGCAATTTTGGTTTGACTTAGCTGTAGCTAGGTTGTTGGGTTTTTTTGTTAACGGGATGGTATAAAGCAGGGTCTGTGTTGTGTAGCAGCATCCAGTCCATTCCTTTATACCAGGGTCTCCCAACTCGGCAACTTTAAGACTTGTGGACTTCAACTCCTAGAATTCCCCAGCTAGCATGGCTGACTTTAGCCAGCATGGCTGACTAGGGAATTCTGGGAGTTGAAGTCCACAAGTCTTAAAGTTGCCAAGTTGGGAGACCCTGGTATAAAGGAAAGGACTGGGTGCTGCTACACAAAAACAGAAAACTAGTCTCATCTGAGTATGATTAAATTACTGGTTCAGATGTTGTGCAGATAGTGTCTGGGTTAGAGCTTCCTTTTGCAGAGGCACCCCAAACCATTTCTGCAGTTAAAGCTGCTCTCATGTGGGCACATTTGAAGTGGGCTGGAAATCCAAACATTGTAGGGATATTACAGGTTGCAACCTCCACCACTACTGTTTTCATGAATTTGGTGGAATTCATAACCTCAGAGCACAGTTCATTATCCAGTTGGGAATCGCCTGCTTATCACTATATTGCCTGGGGATAATATACAGAATTAGCAAAACTTCCTATGCTCAGAGCCAATCAGGAGACTGTTTCCTATCTGAGCATGTATATCATACTCACAGGTGATGTCATCTGTCCGTGTGGCTGTAGTTCCGCTATTCAGCTGTGTGGCATCAGCCCATCTGACTTTGCCTGAGAGGAGTGGCTTATGTGATCTCATCCTCATACCTCCTGACCCAGAGGTATGAATATCCCCACCTTTTAGACCATATCCCCAAGGCAGTCTAAAGCCATCTTCAATTCCTCCAGTTTTAAAATAAATATTTTCTCTCTTCTCCACATTTGGTTTTGCAACTACAATGCTTTTTCACTGATGTGGTTGACACAATCGGGCTGGGATTTACTCAGCTCTTACTATACAGAATAAAGAATAACAGAGTTGGAAGGGACTTTGGAGGTTGTCTAGTCCAACCCCCTGCTCAAGCAGGAGACCCTCTATGCCATGTATGTTAAACCTGTGGCGTCATGTTGCCATCACATGATATTTCACGTTTTCCCCTTTGCGGAGCTGGGGTGGGCGTGGCCTGCATGTGATGCATCTGGTGGTTCAGAGAACCGGTAGTGGCAGCGCAAGGTTCCACCCACCCACCTGGACGTCGTTACTTCCTGGTTTTAACCAGGAAGTAACCTGTTTTTGACCTTCTGCGCATGTGCAGAAAGCTTTGCGCATGCACAGAGGGTCCAAGCGTGCACATGATGCATGCACAGAGCACGCACTTCCGAACCAGTAGGGAAGGTATGTAGATTTCACCTCTGCAGTATACCCTATATACAGACTCCTTATATACACAGATATTGCACTCTTTTGGAAAAGAGGCATTCCTAGTGCCAGACTGAAAATGGCCAAGACCAAATAAATCCCCTCTGGTACTTTGCTTTATTGTTGCCAGATTTAATAAGGGCATCTTAAAAACCTGACAGAGAAGGTTTCTTCCCCTTTCTTACATCAAAGAGATTGTAGAAATTCAATCTTGAATTTGTTTCTGGTTCCCTCTTCTCTTTCAGGGCTGATCTGGTGTTTATGTAAGAGTTGTTTTGTTTCTTCAAGGCCATCTCTACTCCGTTACATTTACCGCATCTGTGTTGAAAAGAGCGAAATATTTGGGGCCAAGGAAAGGTAATTGTTCAGAGGAGAAACTCTACAGTATGTTGGAGTCATAAATTGCTCTGATTGTGCTAATTGTGTTTTTAGGAAAGGTGGTGTTTGAATATAAGAGAGCAGCTAATGAGGTGCCACAGAGAGGGCAAATCTCTGATTGATTTCCTTCAAGCTGTTCCAATGATAATTGAGATATTGGAGCCAGTTGGTCTAGTGGTTGAAGCACCACCAGGGTTAAAAGCCAGGAGAATGTGAATTCTTAGGCATGAAAGCTGGCTGGGTAACTTTGGACCAGTCACACTCTCTCAGCCCAACCTATCTCACAGGGTGTTGTTATGGGGAAAACAGAAGGAGTATGATGTGTTTTCTCTGGTGAGTTATTTATAAAAGCAATAAAGATGAAATATAAATAAAATAATAATAATAAATATCTCATTTCACCAACCCAATGATTTAAAAAATCTACTTTCAAACTGAACTTCAGCCAGGATTTTTGGAATCTTTAACTGTTGCTTGATTTTCCATTCCCCTCCAGCCACTCTTCCTGTCCTCCTCCCCTCCCAAGTACAAAAGCTATAAAGGTAACCCTCTTTCCAGTAGGGAGAGTGTGCCAAAGGAAAAAAGCCATGGCTGCTGGCATGGCTTGAAGTTGCATGGAGCAGGGATCTCCAACCTTGGCAACTTTAAAACTTGTGGATTTCAACTCCCAGAATTCCTCAGCCAGCAAAGCTTAAAGTCTTAAAGTTGCCAAGGTTGGAGACCCCTGGCATGAAGCAACTTGAATAGGAATTTAGAAAAGCTTCTGCCCATTTTATTCTGCACCCCTCCTACAACTGTGACCAGTCAGCTGGGCTATTTTTTGACATGGGCTTAGCACTCTTTTAGAAACATGCTAGACCCATGTTCAGAAATCCCCTGACTGACAGGACAGAGAACCACTGCATACATATATCCCAAACCTGTCAAGGAACTTGCTTAATCTGCCCCACATAGATTCGGAAGAGTAATTGGAGGTTGGTTTTTCCTCCAGCTCAGGGAGGGCAATCTGAGAACCCATCAATTAACTTGTCCTGCATTAAAACAGTAAGCAGATATCTCCAGTCTCATTAGTGGGACAAAATAGAGATTGGCAATCAGAGCACCACAATTTATACCAGCCTAATCTTCTGCCAGCTCAAGAACTGGTGGATTGTAGTTTAATTTGACCTTCTGACTGTGCCTGGCATCCTGACAGATATCTGAATGGGGGCTTTGTTTCAAAGCATATGTTTAAAATTGTACAAGTCTGGAAAGAAAGAAGTATATATGGTTTTGTTTTTGTTCTTCTCTTGTTATACCAGTGGCCAAGTTTCAGAATATGTTCTTCCTTTATCTAGTGTTGCTTTTTTTAATTTCCTCCTAAGAATGATGCTTGTTCTTAATAATGGTGTCTGTTGATCTCATATGCTACTTTTTATCTCACTTTGTCTCTCCAAATTGACTACTTGAATGGGAAAGGGTCATTTAATCTATTGCCACTACTCTGGCTTCTTTTGCCTTTAACAAGGTTAATTAAGTTTTGATCCCTGAATTGGAAAAGACAAAAGGACAGCATATAGGGAGAATCTGTGTGGATTCATATATTTTAGTCTAGTGCCTTCTTCAGACCTGGTCTGTATAATTGGTCTATGATTCAGTATCATGTGTCATGTGAACCCAGATAATGGAGTTACTTAAGTAAACATGGCTAATAGTAGTAAGTGTTAAGCAAATAATGGGTAAAGGAAATTTACTAATAATCTAGCACATTACTTTCCAAAGGTGTTGATTATCTTCAGCCAACATAATTCTTGGAGTTGGAAAGTTGAGGAAAATTGGACTAATGCTCCCATTTGCAGATACGGGCACTCCTCTATAAATATGCCACTGCATTCCACATTAAGGTTATAGCTGAGTTCACATTACACAAAGCCAACATGAAACAGATCACAATCAGGCTCAGGGTGCTGTGTGACTACAATCATAAATCAATCAATATGATTTTTAAATTCTAGCTTATGACAGCGTGTGAACCAATTGTGTTCTATTAAACCTTGCTTAGAGAAAACATGTTTTGACATATCGTGGAACATATTTCTTGGTTTTGCAAGCCACCATAAGCTAAAATGCTATTGACTAATGTACTGTATTAACCCAACAAGTATCGTTAGTTTATAATTCAGTGATTGACTAAATCATGGTTAACCATGGATAAATGTCATGCAAACACAGCCACTGAATGGATATAATATTCTTGCTTTGTTCTGAGCTCCGATTGACGTGGTTATCTAAATCCTCTAAAGTTTATAGCACAGAAAAAAAGCAAGGACATTCATTGATAATTTGCCACCTAAAATCCCTTCAGATGTTAGTTTTATTACTTCATGTCTTAGCCTATGTTTACTTGGGTGTAATTGTCAGAACGGATCTTCTACATATAGCCTGCTTTCCTTATACAGATTATCAGCAGGAGTTTCAGTTAAGCATGTCCTTTGAATAAGCCTTTAGGACTTTAGACCTGGTTCTCACATTGTTCTAGTTTACCTCCAGGAATCTAAAGGCAGTTTTCAAAGGATTCTTAAATAGCTTTCATCCAAGCACTGATTATGCCTATTCTTCTTTAAAAAAAAAAAAAATCTTCCCCTGCACTAGAACATTGTCAGCCTATCATTTCAGAGTAATTAAAATAATTCTCAAGGTTGAAGATCTGAATGTTGCCTAATTCTCTCCTACAAACATATTTGATTGCTTTTCTTTTGAAGAAACATTGCTAGAATCAAATTTATTTCTGGAAATACCCCAGGCACATGTTGCTAAGAGAACATTGGTTATTTTATGTATAAATAATCACAATGTAAAGACTTTGACAATTGCAATGTTTTAAAAACAGACATTATAACCTTGGAGGCAAAAACAGATCTGGGAAGGAGAGGGCTGGATGAACACAAACAATTTTGAGTATGAAACTTATTACCATATAAGTAAGATAACAGATCTGAATATAAATTTAGCCTAAAACAGGACTAGCTGCCTTTTCGGGAAGAGATTTATCTTCAGGATTTCTCATGAGATTCTAAATTGAGAATATACTGGAAAAAGTTGTGTGAAGGATTGAATGATGGCTGAATCTTTATGTTAAAACTTAGGCATGGCCAAGTAAGTTCCTCAAAGACCACAAGGAGGAAATGGTCTTAGTTCAGCTGTGAATAGAATATTTTAACTCTCTGCAGACTTTTCTGCAAAGAAAATATAGAAGTCAATCTGGAAGCAGTTCCTTGCAACCTAATTAAGCTGTGGCTAAATATGATACAGATGCTGCTGAATTATGAGACTTAATCCATCTCTCATGCAACCCTTAGATGAGGATAGGAAGGAATATACATGGAAGCAAGATATTGTTTAGTGCTTGTAGATGAATTATCAGAAAATATGTCTATGGAGATTCTCAGTCATCCATGTCATGGTTGTCCCAAAGGTGCTTTTTCAGGAGGCAACTGGACTTCCTTGTTTTTCTTCGAAGACATTTCGCTTCTCATTCAAGAAGCTGCTTCTTAGTCAGAGCTGAAGAAACTTCTTGGGTGAAAAGCAAAACATCTTCAAAGAAAAACAAAGTCCAGATGCCTCCTGAAAAACCACCTTTCGGACAACCATGACCTGAATGGCTGAGAATCTCCATTGATATTTAGCTAAGCACTTTGGGATGAACACACTTCAAATGGTGTGGGAGATGAACAGATTTCCAGAAAAATTGCAGACTACAGGAACCATCTGTACTTCAGTTTGAGATGCAGACAACACAGACTCATTCCCAACAGCCTGCTTCTGTCTTCAACAGTGAAGGGACACAGAGAAGAAAACATCCTGCAGCCAAGAAGGCTCCACACCCATTTGCACTACTCAGGTGACCCTGAGGACACCGATAAACCTCCAACTGGCCTCAAGGACTCTCTAAAAGAATGCAAATGACCAGCTGTCTGCAAGGAATATAAATCCTTCCATTCTCTACCATCCAATCAGAACTGAAGAAACTTCTTGGATGAGAAGCGAAACATCTTCAAAGAAAAACAAAGTCCAGTTGCCTTCTGAAAAAGCAACTTTCGGACCATCAGAAAAGATGCTGCAGTTTTATATTTCTGCATTTGATCATACCAAGAAAATAGGCACCAATCCCAAGATAGTTTCCTCATAACGGGTAAGCTATGAATCTATTTTAGTGGCTAGATTCAGTCTACACACTCAGTCACAGTATAATTTAGCATGGCATACTGTTATAAACTGAACTTCAAATTTATGCCTCTAGAGAACTGGCAACACTCAATATAACAGTATTTTATTCATATACTAGCATATTTACATAAGACCTTGTCCTATCCCCAACACCATAGATATTTTTGGTTGAAATTCTCAGTATAGAAAACAATTTTTTTGACCTGAGCACATAAGATGTGTTCTTACCAAGAAACAGCAATAAAAATAGTTGTGTGAAAGCCAAGCCAGATAATTACTTTGGGAAAGAAAAGTTACGTTGGCCTGGCCTCTCAGTTAAGAGCCTTATTCTCTCAATGGCTCTGACTGGTATCTTTGGTTAAGTTTCCTTGATTACACAGCATGCCCTCAGATACTTTCTTAGTTCCCAGGATCCACCCAGAAATCGAATATTATTCCAGCCTAACTCTAGCTAGCTGGGACAGCCAATGTGTTGAACTGTATTCAGATGAAAAGGCAGGTAAGTCAACCCACATCATTAACTCATGCACACATCTATGTAGGTTATTTTGTTGGCAGCCAGGTGCTATTCTTGGAAAAACTGCTTTCTTCCCCATCAACCTCTTCTGTCTTCCACGGGTGTCAACGCAAGAGGTCTATTTAGTTTACAATGGATGCATTTTGAATGCAACTGTCATGAACTGCATGTGAAGGAATGCATGAAATAAGTTTCTAGCTTGTAAATGGTTGTGCAAAGGCATCTAGCCAAGACAGCTTCCACACACATTCACATCCTCATACATATTAATCAGGGAGCCTAATTTAAATTTATATGTGATTTGTTACAGATTTTCTACTTCTGTCCATACTCAGCATTCCTTGTAATTGTAGGGCAGGCTTTTTTTATCTAACGTTTCAAAGTCCACTGCCAATGTTTCAGTCTTCTCTGACCAATGTTTCAATTAAGCATTGTGGGATCCGATGAATTCTGGATTCTTCTCCATTCCCAGGCATTTGTTCCATCACTGGAAACATCACATCTGACAATTTAAGGCAGGAAAGGGATGACACAGCTTATTCTGAAGTTGCCTCTCAATAACATTTCCCTCTGGAAAAGAATTGCTTATTGTTGTCTACTATAGTTTCATGCCTTCAGTGTGGGTTAATTAGATTTATTTATGTAAGAAGCAAACTTAAACCACCCCAAATTACAGAGTATGATTCTAAAACCCCCTATGACTCCACTGTTTGGGCCCTATACTAGTTTTTATATAATCGTGCAATAGGGAATTATTGCAAAAAATAAAATAAATGGCCCTTTATACCAGATGTACATGCCAATGATACAAATTGTTTTCCTTAAACTAAGCCAAAAATGAAGTGAGCTGAGCTTATAACTAAGTTAAAAAAATAATTGCAATCACATTTTGCATTTTCATTGTGATTTTTTAAAAAAATGATCTTAGAACTTATTGAGGATGGTGATCCTTCACCAGAAAACTATGTAACTGCTTGTATGTAATCATTTGCTTAGAAGTTCTATGCTCAGTGAGAGAAGTTCTGTTCCTTGATCCAGACAGATTGGATAAGATTTTGTGCTTGTGTGACTTCCTAAGGAAACTTGCCAACAAAGAATGCAGTGTTGTTATGTAAAAATGGGAAGTGAATTCAGTTCCCTCATATGCATTAACAGGAAACTAATATGGTCTCCACAATACACAGGTTGGGGGGGGGGAAATCTACCAAATAGATATTATTTTATAGGGCAGTTGTTGCAAAGTACCAGTTGATAACTATTATGTCACTCACTAATATTTCATGAGAATTCTATAGCCCAGACAAATCTTTCCAACAATTTTCCCTATCTGGTGTCATCACGATGTGTTGAATTACATTTCCCAATATTTCCAGCCAGCATAACGCCTGGCTACATTATTTATTTATTTATTTATTTATTTATTTATTTATTTATTTATTTATTTATATCCCACCCTTCTCCAAGTGGACTCAGGGCGGTGCACAGCCAGAACTAAAACACATACCAATACAAAATTTAAAATTTTTAAAAGAATTATATGACTTTGGCCCAAAATTTAAAACATTAAAACTAAAACCCGTTGACAATTTAAAAAGCTAAAAAAAAGTGGGGGGGGTTTCACGCCAGCCCTGCTTGATGGAAAAGAAAAGTTTTTAGGGCACGGTGAAAGACCCGGAGATCCGATATCCTTCGTATCTCCGGGGGCAAATCGTTCCAGAGGGCAGGAGCTGCCACAGAGAAGGCCCTCCCCCTGGAGGTCGCCAGCCGACATTGCCTGGCTGACGGCACCCTGAGGAGTCCCTCTGTGGGAGCGTACTGGTCGTTGGGAGGCTATCGGCGGCAGAAGGCGGTCCGGCAAATACCCAGGTCCAATGCCAGAGATTCTAGAATTGCTGTTTGGACCAACACCATAAAGAAACAAGGTGGGAAAATCTGGCTTAAAGAAACAAGGTGGGGAAAATCTGGCTTATACTTTAAAGTTACAGTTGAGAACAAAGTTAGTTTGTGAAGAACAGCTGGAAAAGGCTGTTTAGCTCAGGAAGCATGCACCTTGCTATTTCAAAGAATGCATGTTCCCTATTTTAAAGCCCCAAAGTCTACCATGAAATACAACATGGTTTTTTTTTACAGTCTCTAGCTTTTCATTATCACATTCTAATTGGCAGTGCTTCTTCTTTTCAAGAGATAATCGTACAATGCAGAAGGTTTATACATGGGGAAGTCCATCCTGCACAGCAGGAACTTCAAAATAAAGATAAATGTTGAAGCAAAACAGGAATTTAATTGAAAAACATGGGCAGGGAATGTGTAAATCCCAGGCTGCAGGAATTGGTGAGGGAGGGGAACTGACAATTTCCTGGAGTTTTGTCCGTAAAAGGTTGCACTGAGGATTTGATGTTCCATTCCGATTGAGGTTGTCTATAATTGCTGGGAATATTTAAAAATACGTAAACTCTGTTAACAACCTCCGCATGAGCACGTTGTCTTCATATTTTATTTCTCAAGATCAATCAGTGCTAACTAAAAGATAACAGTTTGTATATTGTATGGATATGATCAACATGATGGTGATTTTCTTAAGTTCCAAGCACGGCAATAAGAAATGGATCAAGGAAAAGGGGACAATGCTATGCCCATGATAGGGAACTTGGGCAATGATCCAATACTGGGATTTTGCTGATTTATTATACCAGTTTAAGCCAAGAATGCCAACAGGGGAAAGCTATGGAGCTTTACTTTTCTGACAAGTCTCTAATCCTCACTTAGCTTGGCTCTCTCAGTTTCCATGAAAAGGAATTTATAGAAACAAAAAACTCTTTTCTTTGACTCTGGATGTCAGGGGGCAATGCTTTGCCATGGGAAAAAGTTGAAGATCTTTTTTCAACCCATATTTATAGTGACTGCATGGCAAGCTTATTCATGCTAAAAGGAAAATATTTGTACCTCAGGATTGAAATGGGGAAAGATTGGTGCTGTCTGAGCTTGGTTGTTTTCTTGTAGACATTTCAATACTCAAACTAGGTAACATCCTCAATGTTATGTTACCTAGTTTGGGTAATGAAACATCTGCAAGAAAACAACCAGGCTCGGACAACACCAAGTTCCCCTCATTAGCCAGGTTTCATTGAACTATGTTTTACTTTGAGATAATTAAATTTCCTTGGTTGTACAATATACTTAGACACAAATTACACTGTGGGTCAGTATATTTTGGGACTACAACCATTGTCATGGTTGATATTATTAATGTCTAGGACTCAGGGGTGGGCAATTGTGGCTCTTTTACAACCTGTGGACTTCAACTCCCAGAATTCCTGAGACAGTCAAGCTGTCTCAGGAATTCTGGGAGTTGAAGTCCACAGGTTGTAAAAGAGCCACAATTGCCCACCCCTGGTCTAGGTCAATGATGGCGAGCATATGGCACGCGTGCCGGAACTGGCACAGAGAGCCATCTCTCTGGTGCATGCCAGCCGTCACCCATTGTTGTTCTGTGTTTCAGTACACCAGCTGGTCTTCGTGTGCGCGGGAGCACTGGAACCCGGAGCACTGGAACCATGGCATGCGCGCCATGTAGCTGCTCTTCCGGTTTCTGGCGCTCTCCCGCATGCGCGTGCTCCCGTTTCAGCACTCTGTGCCGAAAAGGTTCACCAACACTGGTCTACCCCATGATGAATTAATTGCTACTTGACGAAAAACAAACAAAAAATCCCAAATCATGAAGCATGCTTTCTATCTGTGCTAGGTACTGTAGTTAGTACCAAAATGTAACGGCCATTGATATATATTAAGTTATGACTTGATCTGCGATGCATCCTTTGACATAGCTGGGCTGCTCCCACATGTTGGAAAGGTGAAACTCCCTGCCTTGCCCTCTTATGGCTGCTTTCATCTTGATCTGCCTTTGGCTGAGTTATCACAGAACAGAGGAAGGTAAACTGGAGGGTGAAGAAGGGAAACCTTCCAAACACAACAGGTTGAAATCTGCATGAAAAAAAGACCAAGACAGGGAACCGAGTAGCTGAAAACCGAAAAAGGCTAGCAAATGAAGAAAAATAATTAGAATTGGCAGAGAGCCCAGCTGACTTTGAAATGAGAGTCAGCAATTCAACAAAGCAAAAGTTTGAATCTTTGAAGCAGGTGAAGGATACATCTGGAAAAGGTGTGTCATGAACAGTCTGCTGCAGACTTTCCATCATGAATGGAGTTCAGCTTTACAACATGAGAGAACTTACTAAAAACGGATCCAAATTGCCTTTTGTGTTTGAAAGCCTATCTTGAATAGACTAGGCTTGGGAGACTTATTGCCTGAGATCTTTCTGTGTTTTTGTTTGAATATGGGGATAAATGTTTCTCTTGCACCGCATTGAACAGCAGGAAAAGTCATATTAGCCCCATAGATTACCTAGTTTTTCCTCATTCCAAACAGATGACCATAAAGAGGCCTTGGATCTCTTGCTTTTTTTCCTGATTATCAGCAAAAAAAAAACTGCCTAGAAAGTAGGAAATCTAAGTACAGTACTGTGAAATTGAATTACGTTTTTATTTTCTCCCATCTATTTTTTAGGCACTCATTCCTGAGCCTTTGGCCATGCTACAAAGCTAAACAGCAAGTTGCTAAAAAGAAGAGATATTTTGGGAGAAATTCTCTGCTGAAGCACAATTGATTAGGTGGCTATAAAAGGACAGGGAATCTTTTTCAGTATTAGATTTGTCCTTATTTTCTTCAGCCATTTGAGCAAGTAGCCGCTGAAACATAATAACCAAGTGGGAAGGGCTGAAATAACTTTGGTTTTGCAGATTAAAGTATCCATTTTTCCCCCCAGCTCCCCCATCGCATGCCCATGACTATGGGAAAACCAGTGATGGGGGTACTTTATATTTTAACCCTTTAAATCATCCTCTCTGCCCTGAAATAATTGGGTTGGCAGTAAATTAGATGCTGGTTGTTCATGGGTTGTGCATCCTCAATACATAAGAGCTGAGAACAGCCCTGCTATGTCCCTGCCCCGATAGAGCTCTGCAGAGCAGAAGGTCAGGATGAGATGGCACCATTCAGGTTTGGTAGAGCGAAGGGCCAGTTTCCCCCAGTCTCTAGGATTGCTGGTCAGGGGCCTACCCAGAGATAAACTTCCTTAAATTCAAGATGTTTCTCTCCTAGATAGGTAGGTTGGCATTGCCATCCTTTGTGCCAATCTTCTAGATTGAAACTGGATGAAGAGCCGCCGTGCTGATGCACTAATGGTGTATCTCTGATCTTCGCAAAACTGTAGTATCTTCCTATAACCTGCTTTTATTTGCAATATTTGCAATAAAAATTGCAAAGAAGAAACATTACCTTGAAAAAGTCATTCCCTGTGCGCCACCCCCCCCCATAAAAGGATGATGAACCCTATCATTTTATAAATATGAAGGACCTTTTGCTTCAGAAATATTATCTGAAGGAAATGAATGGTGTGTTTGCGCCACTACTGATTTATTGGCAAAATATAGACAACTAAAGATTTCTTCAGCTTCACAGCAATACAAAATTAAGGATTTTTGATAAGTTCCAGCATTTGGATTAATAAGCGCTTTCCTTCAGAACAATCTGCAACCTCCAGATACGTATCGGGATTTTTTCCCCCTTCGCTAAACCGGGCGGGGGCAGGGCCAGCACGTGACACATGTGGCCCGTGGGCTGTAAGTTTGGCACCCTTGTGCTAGAACCACATCATATGAAGTCCTCAGCCAGCTGGCAGGCAGCCTTATGGGGAGCTGCTTCCAGAAATTGCCAGAAGGTTATTTTATTGGGTGACTTCAAGTTCTTTGAATAGGCATGTCTTCCCACAATACATTATAAATATTTAAAGCAGAAACAAAGAATTCAAATTATTAATGGCTGCCATGTATCTATTCCTTAGCAATCCAAAAGTCATTTGGGGTTCCAAGTAAAACTGCAAGTTCAAATCAGTGATATTTATCTTCAATTTAGCATGGCTGGAATTTTAAACTGTGATCCTATTTGTATCTACCCAGAGATAAACTTCATTAAGTTCAAGATGTTTTCCTCCTAGATAGGTATGTTAGCATTGTCATCTTATGTGTCATTCCGGAGCAATTAAGACTGCAGACTAATTAGATCATGTCAAGTTCTTGGCAGAAGCTCTTCATTGCTGTTATCACTTCAAA